TTCCTTCTTACATTGTTTATTCTTTAGCTTTCTCTCTCTCCCCCTTTTTCTTTTGGTTTGAATAAATCCACTTACCCCAATGGATGTCCTAGAGCAACAGCACCACCCTTGATATTGACCTTTGCAGGATCAAGATTCAGCTCCTTTATGAATATCAGAGCTGTTACTGAGAATGCTTCATTGAGTTCCCACAAAGCGATATCGGATACGGACAAGTTTTCTTGTTCCAGGAGCTGTAAATGAGTGATGATTCTAATAAATTCATCTCCTCCCAGGAAGTTAAGTACCTTCTTTGCAGCGGATACTGGAGCAACGGTAAAGTCCACTGGCTCTCCACCTGCCTCGGCGAATGCGATAACCTCTGCTAGTGGCGTAAGACCTAGAGACGGTAAGTAACAAGTGCTAGGTTGATCCAGTTCGATCAGAATACCGTTTGGAATTTGATCTCCTCGGACTAGTGTAGCTGCCACAGCACCATCATTTATAGACGAAGCATTAGCCGCAGTAATGGTACCGGTTCCGTCTTTGAGGAATGCAGGGTTCAGACTAGGTACCTGAGGATTTATTTTCTCAGTATAAACATGCTCAGGAGCAAAAAATAGAAAGTATGGGTTAGTTCGGTCACAGTGAAGCTTACTTTCGATTCAATAAGCTTCTTGTACTCTTCATCTTCGGATATAACAACAACACCTTTCCTCGTCTTTACGGTAACCGGTATGACTTCTTCAGCATAAAGATCATTCTACAACACAATTCATAAACAAGACAGGTATAGGAAAGGTAAGTGACGAATACGCACCTTCCAAGCTGCAGCAGCCTTCTTATAGCTATTTATAGCATATTCATCTTGAGATTCACGGCTTATACCATACTCCTGAAGAGCAGACGATCGAAGTTATATAAAAAAATGGACCATGGGGTACCTTGGCAGACTTTTCCGCGCACAATCCCATCGATTGACCGAGGGTGGGATCTTCCAAGCCATCTCTTTGCAAGCCATCCTGAGCTGATAGGTGTTTGGTAGAGGAAAACAACACAATTCAACTTTACCGTGATTTTGGTACCACCATACGGTATCTCACCACG